TGAACATTTGGGTGGCATTATGCAAATATTTCCATATAGTGTGGTAGATATGTGGGGGCGTGTTAGAATGAGCCGTTTTAGGGGGGCGTGGCAGAGTCTTAACTTTGATAAAGAATATCTCTTTGGTTTTGAGACTTTAGTCTTTGCAACTTCAGGGATCTTATCTATGCACAATCAGCTTGTAACACTCCAAAGAGAAAGGAAAACTTGAAATCGCATCATATGACCCCTTTAAAGTCCTCCTTGGAAGTTCATATTTGCGAGTTGCTAAGTCATAATTACGATGTCAGGTGCTTTCAAATAGCTTTGGTCGAAGCAAGATGGTGATGCAACCTTTCTTACATAATTCTTACATTTTTTAAAACTCTATACTAAGAAAATGCTGAATAAAGATGCACATTGGGTGTGTTTGCTTTGATTTTATTCAGTTAATGAAAGTGCTGTAAATTGAATCATAATTGTTCATTACTATGGTATTTTGTACTGGTTAGGTTAGAAAGTTTCATAAACATGAAATTTAGATATACAGTCTCCATGGGAACCCACAGATTGAAAATGCAAACAAACCGAACAGCACTATTGCTAAACAACTAATATAAAATCAACAACAGCTGGAGGAAACATACTAAATAAAATAATAAATTAAATATTAGTAATTGAATTGAAAAATAATGGACATAAACAGCGGCAATATATACCAATCAAAGTGCAAAGCCAATCTTCTGAAGGGATGGACAGATTGGGTCCTTTCTAAGGGTGTGCTTTTTATTCTCTCATTGGTTGTTCTGTCACTATGCTGACTTGACCGTCGTTTCCATGGGCACCACACTCACTTCTATGGGCTTGAAACAGCCTACATAACATCATCTCTTTATAGTTTGCCAATAAAAACGTTTTTTCCCCCTTTATTTTTGATTAACAGAGTAAACCAGTAGACCCCTGGCCTGGACATATTTATTTATTTATTTGCTTATGACATATCATCTTATCTCTACAAAGACTACACAGAAGCTAAATATATATGGCTACCACGTAAAAGTGTATTTAGGCATACATACAGAAATTATGGATATCCCATGATATTGACAACGAGTACTGCATCATTCACACAGAAGAAAAGCAGCATCAGAGCCGCATATTTTAGTACGGCTCTTATGCAGCATGTGTAAATGGTAGAGTAAGGCCGTTTTATATGGAGCCAGATCGGCCTCAAAAATAATACATTTATAAAACAATATTCATAAATGCACAGCACAATTTACATTTACAAAATCCGATTCGTAAATTCAAAACACAATTCATAGATACAGAAGTAAAAGCATAAATATTTCCCCAAA